TGCAATGCCCAGAATTTCATAGCATTCAGCCATGGCAGTGAAAGTGGTGTCAAATTGCATTAATTCTACAGTGCAGATAGTCTAAGTTTTTTTCCCTTATTTAGTTTAATTGTTAGGGTAAATTGTTGAGCTGCTAAACTTGCTGACTGGAAGGCTGGCAGTTCAAATCCATGGGACGGGGAGCTCCTGCTGTTAGCTCCAGCTCCTGCCAACCTAGCAGTTCGAAAACATGCAAATGTGACTAGAACAATATTTATACCACCTTGGTGGAAACGTAAACATTGCTCCATGCAGTCATGCCAGCATCACGACCTAGAAGGTGTCTACGAATAACATAGGCTCTTTAGCTTCGAAATGGAGATGAACACCACCCTCCAGAGCTCGAGATGAAGGGGAAGACTTTAGGTTTATCTGTGTATCTGTGTTTCATTGTTTCGAGGCATTGGATGTTTGCCTTGTGTCTGTATATTGCATGCTGCAAGTCACAAGATGCAGAGCCAACCTTAAGAAATGGAGCCACAAAGTGGAGTCCACAGCATGCAAGTGTAGTGAAGAGCAAACCACAGACCACCTATTGCAATGCAAACTGAGCCCTGCCACATGCACAATGGAGGACCTTCTTATAGCAACACCAGATGCACTCCCAAATGGCCAGTTATTGGTGAAAGGACATTTAGTATAATGCCAAGTGTTTCACTTTGTGCTTTTTAAAATACATTACAACTGTACCCTCAATTTGCTTCTAATACGATAAGAAACAAATAGTCTGTATATGTCTGTATATATGCTGGAATCCGTCTGAGTCCCCTCGGGGAGATAGGGCGGAATACAAATAAAGTGTTGTTGTTGTGGTTATTATTATTATTATTATTATTATTATTATTATTATTATTATTATACCTCAAAGGGTTATTGTGTGGATTAAAAAAGCGTACTGGAGAACAAGCAGTAGTATCCAACCTACTATTCTTGGAGTCACAAGTTACCCCTTTCAGTTCAAGTGTTAAATATATATATTTGCATCATTTTAAAGTTTTCCTTGTGAAAGTTGCACAGGTTTCTAATTATTTAGAATGACTAGGGATTCCAATAAATTAAGAGTCTCAAAGAAATACATGAAAAATTAGAAATGTATATGGACACAGATTCATAATTTACTCACACGGAATTTGTCTGGATTACAAACATCATTTGGAGGATTATGAATATACTTTATGGGTCTAAGAGAAGCAATATACATTGGACTGTTTTTATAGTCTGCTCAGTACTGACGTTTTTCAGCCTAGGTTATGGTAAATTAAATATAAAGATATGCGACGAATCCCTTTTTTTAAAAAAAATATGGCAGCCTCTGATATATCACTAAAGCAATGCGGTCTTGGGAATGAAAAATGATTCTAACCCTGCTCTAGATGTATATATATGTACATACAAACAGACACCTAGGAAGTAAGAGCACCACGGGTGCTATTCTCTACCACTTATAGTATATATCTGTCCATGCATAAAATCTCCTGGTCTAACAGCATAACTGTCTGTTACGCCTCACATTTCATACAAAATGGAAACTTCTTATCTTTGCCTTGCGTCTGGGCTCTGAGGACCTCCACACCTCCCACCCGCTACCACTTGTGAATTCCAAGATGCTCACTTGACAATACAGAAATCCACGTCCTTGGTAGTAAAGTACAAAAATTGCATATATAGATCATAACCTGTTGTTTATACTCCACATCTCCGAACTGCCGAACGAAGCTTACAGAAAAAAGGCTGGCATTACTATTCATTTCAAGATGTGAAAAATCGTAGACGTGCTTGTTTTTTTAAAAAAATGTTATTTTGAGAAAATACGTTTGCATAAAAATGCCTCCTCTGATATGGTCTTCTGTTGCTGCATACATTGTTAAACAATGGATCCCTTGCACTGAAGAAAGCCTTGCGCATTCAATGCTGCAGAATTCTAAAAAATCCTATGGTGAAACCCTGCAACAGCAGATGGATTGCATCGGAAATACTCTAAGAAAGCAGAATATTGTGTCCACAGACCAAATGTGACTGAGAAGGAAGGCGCGTGATTAGGATGAAAGCAAATGAACAAATTCAGGGGGTCCCCACTTGAGCCTCCATTGTTTGGGATTCTATTGAGCCAACAGCCACCCATTTTATGTTTGACTTGCCAACATGCTGTGAAGTACATGCCCTCCCATGAAGAACATTTTCTTAAGGGACAGACAATCTGATTGAGGTCTGCTTCCACTTTTATTAGGAAAAGATGAAGTATGAGTAACAGAGTTCACATTATTTCTCCATCTCGGCAAAGCAGATGAACAGCTGAATTCCCCTCCTGTAGTGTTTCATCCATGTTTGATCTGAAAGTCACTTCCACGTAGCTAATAGCTCTTTGGGGAAGAACTACTAAACACACTTTTAAAATTATTGGTGCTTATCCAACAAATATTTAACAAAGCCACTTTATGACCCAGTATTTGCAGGCCTGTGCAAATCCTCCTCAAGAGCCCAGTCAGATTTTTGCTTTCTTGGTGCTGATCCTTTTTGGGGACTTGCGTCCTGCTTTGCCAGCTTAACAGTTTTAACACCAACAGGGGCTTGTGTCCGTCCTAAAAAAAATGGCTCCCATTTTGGAATTGCTTCTTTTACTTTTGCCCAGTAAAGAGTCTGAAAAGATATAAAATGATACACAATTTCACTTTGCTACTTGCCATAATGTTTACTAGCCGTTCAACAAAACAATCTGAACACACAATGTGTTATTAAAGCTTGTTTTATGTGTGAAGTAATTGAGAAAAGGCCAAATGACTTTGGTGCTCAATCTCAAATCCCTCAATTATACAATATAATGGGGGCTGGAAGGATTTCAATGCCCAGAGTAAATTTGCAATGATTGATTGTGCCCTCTTGTGGTGAATAGAGTATTAGAATGGTAATCCTTGAACTGTGTAATTGTTTCCTTAAGCTAGGCAGCAGTTGTTTCTCTGAACCACTATACTAGCCCCAAATTCTTATTATAATCCCTTTTAAAAGAACAGTAATCATTTGGGGCCTAAAATGTCTTGGCATTTACATAAACGCAATACACTGTACTTTTAACCCAATAACTGGAAATTCCTGGGTTAAAATAGTTTTGAGGATAAGTATGCAATTGCATACAATAAGCTCATAGTGTCAAAGGAATGGCAATAAACTTGGAGAACTGTTCAGACGGTCCACAAACTATATCTGGTTTCAAAAGTTGTGATGTTCGAAGGATCTGGTGGATAAGTTACTCACAGTGCCTCCTAAGTCTAGACCAGTGGTTCCCAATCTTTCTTTGACCAGGGACCACTTTGACCAGGGACCACTTTGACCAGGGACCACTCTCAACATTAGTTCCAAAAGGGTTACTCATCAGTTTTTGGTCAACTTTAGATTCGGTTTGGTTATTTGGGGTGCTGCTTCAGAAAATTGCATTGAATAGACCATATCAGCTCTAGGTTCTGATAAAGAACATATGTCATCCAGTAGTCACCATCTGCTTGCCCACAGAAAACCATATTTAATACGCCTGCACACTATAACAGAGTTTCGCAAGACCAGGCGCTCTCATTGCAACAGCGTAGTAACGGTGAAGCCGCGGACCATATTGTAGTTCTTGGGGACCACTGATGGTCCACGGACCACAGGTTGGGGACCACTGGTGTAGACCTATCCTAATGTTCCCCTCCCCATTGTGATATACAGAAAATAGTAGGACAGACCTATAAAAGACCCTTTCGTGTTAATTGAAAGGCACGTGTGGGGAGTCGGATATGCTGAACTTAAGTCTCTGGAACTGTATTTAATAATCAATATTTGTAAACGTATTCTTGGTGGAAAATAATGGCCAGAATAAATAGCTTTTTTAGATTAGGGTATTAGACTGAATAATAGGACATTAGAATCCTAACCTGATGTAAGTGTCTCCCCTTGAGTCTAGCTACCAGCCCTTTTCTTCATTTCACCCAGGTCTCTCCTAATTCATCTAATTCAGATCTCCATCCTATCTTTTCATCCACTCTTACTTCTCTCTCAACTGACTTTCTAAAATGATAACTTCGCTCCAGAGCCACCCATCCTTCTATCAGACCATTCTGCTGTCAATTAGCCTTCTGATCATTCTTTTGTGAGAAAAGACATGCAAAATCACTGGGATCCTGGATGTCATTCGGATAATCACCTTAAGCTTCTGAAGTGCCTCCAAAATGCAGTGTAGGCCATGGACAATCCCATTATTCCCTTCCAAATTCCAAGCATAAGAGGCATCCTGGCCATTGCCTGTGCAGTGCTCTGCTATTGTAGGACTTAGAATATATCAAAGAAAAGCATGATATGGATGAATCCCAGACTTTCTCTCAATTATGGAGGAAGGGTTTCTCCTACACAGTCACACTGTGCTTTGGATGTACTCTGACATACAATGGGATCTGACTAAGGAGACAATGTTCTCTGCAATATTTTATTGTAGACTGATTTTTTAAATTGAGTTTTCTTTATCTCTGTCCGCCAGCACTGTGGAGAAAATCTCAAAGGAAAAAAATCAAGTGAGAAGTAAAAACAACCTGAAGTTGCTTAAATTTTGTTGCTAGTACAGACTAGAACAGAGCAATTAAATCAAGTGTACATACCCATGTACTGACTCACAATTCAACACTTGATTCAATGAACCTATTCCAGTTGGTTATAGTGTCAACCAGTATGTATTAGATTCTGACAACAGTAGTGTTCAGCTTACTAAAAACTGAAACTATAGTCAAAAATCAATAGAGTCCAATAGCAGTATTGGATGTTTTGAACTTACTGCAAGTTTTTAAAAAGAACTTTAAGAGAATTTGAAGCTGTAGGAGATCACTAGAAGCCTGGTAGCAACTGCATTTGTAAAAAGATTGTCTTAAAAAAAGAGACATCTTAATTTTTGTGCTAAAGACATTAACAGTAAGCAATGAAAAGTTCTCCCTTAAACTTACCTCAAGATTAACAATATCAGGGTGGAGAAGTAAGTGTTCTCGTGAGTGTAGCTTCTTCTCTGCTGCTTCAATATCCTATAACACATGAAAGACCGATGTTAAATACCACTTTCAGAATTAACATATATGTAAATGAACCATGCAAGTCAAAATGTATTTCATATTTAGTAACCATACAAGTCAAAATGTATTTCTATAAGTCATTTCTGACATGGTGATCCTGAGGCAAACCTATCACAGGGTTTTCTTGGAAATATTTGTTTGGAGGGGATTGGTCATTGCTTTCCTCTGAGGCTGAGAGAGTATGACTTTCAGCATTTTCCCCGGCTGAGCAGTGACATAGGAATTGTAATTACACTTTACTCTTCATGGGTCAGACATGAACTGGAGTGTTGTTCCAGTTCTACTTGCCACACCTTCAAAAGGACATATCCAGGCCTAGAATTAGTTCAGAGGAATAAAGATAAACAATAGTTTAGAAAACAAGTTCTATGGCTGAGGAAAGCTTGAAGAAAATGGTATGTTAAATGGGAGAAGAAAATATGGAGCGGCCTCATGATACTACTCTTCAGACAACTGAAATTCATAGAATCATAAGAGTTGGAAGAGACTACAAGAGCCATGCAGTCCAACCCCTGACCATGCAGGATGGTCATCTAGTCTCTGCTTAAAAGCCTCCAAAGAAGGCACTTACACCACACTCCAAGGCAGTGAATTCCACTGTTGAACAGCTCTTACAGTCCTTCCTAATGTTCAGATGGAATCTCCTTTCTGGCATTTAAGATGTTACATATATGATGACAAAGACTGTTGCCTCAAAGAGCAGGACTAGATCCAAGGGGCTTGCATGTAAAGAAGGGTAGTTTAAAAGAAACTGGAAAAAGTCAAATAATAAATCCATACCAATTTAAACATTAGGGTGACTATTAGGTTCTTAATCATAAGAACATTCACCAACAGAAACAATTCCTTGGAAGAAGACTTTAGTAGAGATTTTTGCTCATAGTGTGTCAGCCATATCTGGGGGACGCTCTTGGCCTGGATTTCCTGCTTCTGTTAGCAGATAGGCCTACATGGCCTATAAAACTTACATCATTGCTTTCTGAGAAATGTCTGAATCTCTCTAATGTGGTTATCATTTTATAAGACAAACCCTTGTAAAAAGAACGTTCAAGAATGAGGTCAATATGAAGGTGATTTCAAATGAATCAGCTCTGTGCTGACAAACACCCTTAATGGTGCAAAAATTGTTCTTATTGCTGAGGTACTTTTTGTTGAGACCCCGACTGAATGATTCGAACTGTATACACTGGGGGCAATTTACAGTTAAGATGATTCACGGTTTGGAGTGAAAGCATTTGCTGCACACATGTGATGAAGCCAATATTCTTCCTCAAAGAAAGCCACGAAAGTAACAAAGCCAGAAAGGAAGACAGCAATTTTGTTCGAGCTCTTCCCTGCTCAAGACAAAGATGACTTGCTAATATGCATTCATAACATGTGCACAAAGATGTAGAAAGGCAGCAAGCTGTTCACCAGACATTCAAACTCCAATGAAAACTCACCTCTATTAGCTTTTCTTAGGAAATTTGCACATGGGCTTCCACTTCCATGTGCTGGGTTCACAGAGAACTAGACTCAATTTAAGAGGGGGAGGAAGCACCTCCTCGAAACTGCAACACTCCCCCTTTTTTTCCCATGGGTTTTCATACACAAACATTAAAGAGATCAAGCGCAGGCCTTTTGGGCAATTTGAGAGAGATGGGAAGGGGCGTGGGAGTGGGGTGTGAAGGAGCCGGTGCTGAACAGAAATGGAAGAAGGGAGTATAGCAGATGGCATCGTCGGGAGCAGAGAGTGAGTGTGAAGAGTAAGGCATCTTTCAAAAATTAAGTTTAAAAAAATAAGAAGGAAATTCCCCAAAGGGACTTCCCATAATTCCCAAAGCGTGGCAGTGGAGAAGAATAGGGATCCTATGACAACAGGATCAACAAGACAGGATGCACCCAGTGAGCTAAGGAGCCACTTGGAATACCACTGTACCTGATAAAGAAAAAGGATTGTGGGATCAGGACCAAATTTCCCGCAGAGAGCAACAAAAAGAAGTGACCATCTGAGTGACTGCTAACATGACAAGACAGGAGAGAAGATGCCAGCTAACTTTCCTTCCTTCCCACACTAATGCATTTATAGCAGTGTAAGACCCCCCTGGTCTCCCAAAGAGGGGGGAGTTCACCATGTCAGACTAACAGCTCCAGAAACTAAATGACACCGCAGATGCAGCATGAAACGTAGACACCGAGAACTCCTATCAAAATGTTTCTTCTCTGATCTGAAGGGGAGCCACTGCCATGATCTGAGACCACAGTATCCTGGTGATATAGAGGACTGCTTCTTAAACTGTAGATCCCGACACCAAATGGGGTCCCCTTAGCTCGGTGTTGAGGGTCAGCAATAAAACTTTGCTGAACTTTTGTCTGTTTTAGACATGTACTGTTGTCCAGTGTTCACAGTGGACACTGCAGAAGATGCATCAGCCATACTTCAGAAAAAGGAAAATCAGTTTGTTTAACAAGCATTGCAAATGCTGATTTGATATCAGCAAATATTTGAGTTTTATACCATGTTACATACCTTTATAACCAGGGATATGTAAAATATTCTCAGGCCAAAAGGGTTTGTAAGTGAAAAGGTGTAAGAAACTCTGGTCTAGGGTATTGCATAGCAGATTATCATATTTGTTAATGGCAGAATAATAACAACAACAACTTCATTCTTATATCCCGCCATTATCCCTCGAAGGAACTCGGGGTGGCTTACAGGGGATCAAGCCCAGAATAAACAAGGGTTACAAAGTAACATACTTAAAACATATACAAGTAAAATATAATTAAAACAATAAAACCTAAAAAATAAAAACATCCTTAAAACCTCAACCGACATTGTAACCAGTAGCCGGGAAAAGTGAGCATGTTCAGGATTGATAGGGCAGGGTGTCACACTGCCAGGGCTCTGCCTTATTCAGGTAGAGATGAACCAAACAAATACCCGGTTTGTATCAAGCAGTTTAATTAAAACAGCATGCACTTTCTGGCTGTTGTAATAGTCTAAAATATAAAATTTAAAAATTGCACTCAGCCACGAAATATAAAACAAAAACAGCAAACACTGTTGCAGGTTCAAGATAACTCCATAATCAAAAGGTCCAGTCCAGTGGTCAAATGCCGAGAGTTCAATAAACAAAGTCCAGGGATCAAGAGTCTATACTGTAGTCAAAAGCCAGTCCAAAGATTCAGGGTTCCTGAATTCCAAAGGTTTAGGAAACAGGTCAGGACACCGAAAATCCACAAACCTGGGGGAAAACCAGCAGCATCTACCACCAAGATAAAACAAATACTTTTCTCCCAAAGATCAGTCCCAAAGCTAGCTTCTAATATTCAGAAACACCCAGATGGAACCTCTCTCTTCAATACCTCCACCCTTAATTGCTTTCACCCATGAACTCTTACTTACAGATTACTCAACCCTTTAGATCTAAGACTTACATTAACTCTTCCATCACCAATTGCTAGGCCTATCACCACCAAACACAATCAATTGCAGAAAATGATACATGGCACAGGGCAAGGGCTTGTGCAAACACAAAGCTGTAGGGCTGGCCAGAAGTAAAGCGCTGGGAAATCAAAACCATAAACTAGAATTGGGCAGTCCTAATCAGGCGCTAAACCATTTTTCAAGGCACATAAACCAATAGCCAGGAAAAGTGGGTATGTTCAGATTTGATAGGGCAGGGCAAGGGCTTGTGCAAATGCAAAAACTGGAGGGCCGGGTTCTGATCTGCAGTAAGGTTTCAAGAACTCTTCCCCTATTCAATCTAAATCTTTAATTTAGGGAAAGAAGTGTGATTTTGTGGCAAAGCACATGCTTTTTATATAGAAACATCCCCTGTTTGATCCCTAAAACCTCCATGAAGGCCTGGAGTAACTGCTGCTTGAAACAGGGTCAACAATACTGAGCCTGATCAAATAATCTGACTCACTGAAAGGCAGCTTCCTGGGTTTCTAAAAGGAAATTTATGGTGGTAGGAAAGGGAAAGTACTTTGGGGCAAGAAAAAAAATGGTACTGGCTTGTGTTGATTTTAGCTGAGAAGGGCATTTGGAAGGGCCTACTCACCAGATGTGTCTTTTTGTTGCTCCTATGCAGTTATAGCACATTTTGAAGTCCTTTGTCATCCAGAATAGTGATTTAATGACAGGCACTGTCAGAAATTGTTGCTAGAAGCTGAAATATGCCTTTAGCAGGAAAATTATGCCATCGAAAGATTAGATGGCACCTTTGCATGTTGCTGAGAGCGTGCGGCAGCCATCTCTCCACTCCAACCCAACCCACCCCACCCCCCGCTGCCCCTTTGAGGCTTGGTGACAGGGTTTGCTTTTAGCAATTCTTTTCAATATTTTAAAAGTCAGCAGTACAGACAGTGTCTTGCATTTTAAGTCCAGTTTTATGTACAATGTGTTTTCAAATGCTGCAATTTTACCAAAATTTCACAGACAGCTGGGAGTACAGGGACAAAAAAAATGCATCAATCTGCATTCAGCTCGCCTCTTATTTATTTATTTACGACATTTCTACCTTCCTTTCTCCACCCCAGAAGGAACTCAAGGCGGCTTACACATAGGCAATTATTCGATGCCATAAAACAATGTACATTTAAAATAAACATTTAAACAGAATTATAAAATACATTAAAACAATTTAAAACATTTAAACCAGTATCTTCATAATTAATCACGTAATCCTCAAGTGTAATCTGAGCCATTCCAATAGTCATTGCACATCATTCCATATCTATCTATTCAACAAGTTCTCCAAAGGCTTGGTCAGAAAGCCATGCTTTCACTCTCTTACGGACGGTCAGGAGGAAGGGGGATGATCTAATATCCCTGTGGAGGGAATTCCACAGCCGAAGGGCTACCACTGAGAAGGCCCTGTCTCTCAGTCCCACCAATCACGCCTGCAAAGGAGGTGGGACTGAGAGCAGGACCTCCCTTGAAGATCTTAAACTCCAAGATAGTT